CGCAACAACAGAATTTAATCCTGAAAGCAAACCCCCTGGGAATCAGTAGAGAATTCAAGGGAGGGATGTTATCTAAATTATGGGTCTGTTTAAAAAATTCTAGGAAATACTTCGGGCACAGAAAAAATGGGTATTCAGTTGTATTAAAAGTCTGTTACTAAATGTTCCTTACTCTGAGTATGTGACTAGTTTTCCAGAAATTGGTGATACTACACTTGTTGCATGGGTAACTTGCTTGACAGATGTGTGTAGTTAAGGGAAGGATGTAGCTAACCATACTGAAATTGGGAGTACTGATACCACCAATGGTAGAATCAAGTGATATGAGCACAGAGTACTGTCAGCAAGATTAGAATGTTTAGTTTATTGAAGTGTTTTAATCCTGAGTTCTTAGAAGCTCTGGTCATTTTATAACAATGAGTCTCAAAGATGAGATTCAGCACTTGTTGAAGTTCTCATCTGAGGTTTTAATCATTTGGAATAAGGGGAAATCCTGTTACAGCTTTTAGTGCTTTCAGATACTGTTTTTCTGTGTTACTAATTTACATTACTGTGTGAGCTGATTATAAAGGATGCTGTAGAAATGTTTTGCTTTGAAAATACTTTCTTTGCTTTGGTTTAAGGGAAGAGTGTGCAAGCTGTAGTGTTACTGATTCTGCTGCTCAATAGAGAGAATGAAGAAATGGTTCTTCAAGCAAAAGACTACTGCTTCGTATCACCTATTCTCACTGCACGTGGCACTAGGATATGAAAGTACAGGAATGTGTCAAAACTGAGCTGAATAGACCAGACCCAAATTTCTTGCTTTCTGACCCATTCGGGTTTTTTTTTCCTGCTGATTTCCTATTTGTCTTTCCTTCTGCAACTGGTTTTCCTACCAGATGTTGTTCTTAACTCTTTCTCCCTCCCCTTCCCCCTTGAAGTTACCCTCATAACATTTTGCTTTACCCAGTCCTTTTGTTCTCACTGTTGCAGCTTATGTAGCATATTTGGGCTGGATTTTCTTAGGTATCAGGCAGAGAAATGTTTCAGCAGATAATTACAGGTTGACTCCATTGTCTAATGGCAGTTAAGGAGTATGTGGGGGTTTTTGGAAATGTTCAGTCAGCTTGTGCAGAACCAGTACGTGATAGGATTTTTTCCAGGGCTCCTGGATTTGCCCTGCCTTGCTCTGCTGAGCACTTTTCCGCAGCAGTGCAGGCGAGAGCTCCCAGCACATATCCTATCCCGCTCCGCTCCTCAGTGGTGCGGTCTATGAGAACTCAAGGGAAGAACAAAATTTTCCAGGTTTTCTGTGCTATGTGGGCAGAGGGTGCAGCCATACACAAAGCTGTCAACTTCTCAAAGTTCGTCATCCTAGGTTTTGAAAAAGTACTTGTCTGGAATTTGGGGGATATTCTATAAAATAAAAGTCATAAGGTTAGCCAACTCCACCTTGGAGTCCTCAAAGAAAACCCACTGATGTTTCCTACAGACATCTCCTGTCTCTCTGTGGATGTTTCCATTATGTTTTTTAATACTGTGCTTTTATTAATGTGGTTTTACATGCAAATCCTGTTCCTCATTAGGAGAGCCATTTATAGAGCTGTAGTGCCATAGAACATAGACTCTGTAGTGTTTTCACTGTTGCTGTGTCAAAGTAAAACTAGAAGCCTAGATTATTTTCATAAATGCAGGCCCTTTGCTTAAAATGCCAGTGGCGAAATATGTCTGTCAAGTATAATAGTAAGTATAGAATTAATGAAAAAAAATGCTAGTAGTTAAACACAATTATGGAAAACAAAACAGTTTCTCATCCTCCTAACTGGAAATGTCATCCTACTATTCCATGCATAGTCCTATTTTTACATCACCCTACATATATTAAAGCAATTTTCATACTTGCTAATTATTAGTTGTTTTAATACTTGAATAAATCACTAATTTCAGTGGAGAACTCTTCACCTGTAAGTCAGATGAAGAATTCATCTTCCCCTTAAGCATGTTATGCTCTCTATTACAGAGGGGGTGATTTTCTGGGTGTGAAGCATGTCTTTTCTTTCTCTGCTTCACTAAAGGGTTGAAAGATTGCAAACACCCTTTTGTTCATTTGGTTGACCAACATTCTCTCATTCTTCTTCAGTTAAAGAAAGCTTTCAGGTTCATTCACTTAATAATATTTCATTCAGCTTGAGCCTCCTTACTTCTAACATAATCTTTTACTGCAGAGAATTGCTTTTTAATCCTTTATTCTAAAAGGTGATCAAAGCATTTTCCCAGAAAGAGAATTTGTACTTCTGTATCCATAAAGTTGAGGACTGAACGCTATTGCAAAACTGTAGCCTTAGAGGAAACTAAACCCATTTTTGTCAATTTTACCTAAATAATAGTATTAAGCTGTATGTTACTTTACTGCAATACTGCTAGAAATTTATGATTTAGCAATAACATTTCTAAGTATTGATAGAGAGTATCATTGTTCTGTAAATATGGAAACAAAACTGAGTCTGAATCTTAATTTCCCTAACTTTCCTTCCAAATTTCAAAATTACCTTCACTTCTCTCAGGTCTGTTATGCAAAGAAAATGATACTGAATGTCTTTACTGTGTCTTTTTGCACAATATTGTGGTTGAAGCATGTTGATAAAACCAAAATGAATTTCAGAGATCATGCAGCTTTTTGCTGCTGCTTCTGCTGAAGAAAGCTCCTATGCCAAAGCTTTTTTTCTTAATAAATTGGCCCATTAAAAGATATTATCTGTCCTATAAACCTGCCCTGGTAATCTTCTAAAAATACTTGGAGCTGAGCAATTTTTACTCCTAAGGAAGCAAAAGACTTAGTGAGTACTTCTGAAAACTCTGTTCAACTTCTGTTCAAAAGCAGTGTTTAGGAAGGATTTGGGGGCATATTTTCTTACCTTTCTTCATTCCTATTATTTTGCTGTCCTGTGGAGCACTGCCTTTGAGAGAAGTGGTTGTAACTCAGAACACTCCTGCCTTTTTATTGCAATGTGAGCTGAAACGTAGAGCAGCTTACAGCAGTCAGTATCCAGTACAGGCTAAGAAATGACAGTAGGTTTTGGAGCTGAGCGGGTGAAACAGTGCTACCTGTCTTACAAACATGTGAGCCATTTTGGTCATTTTCCCAGATTAGGTTAAAGAAAAACCATGTTAATTATGAAAACCAGACATATCTGTCAATAATACTTCAGTGAGTTCAGGAGGTTAATAATCTGAAAAAAAATTGTTTAATTTAGATGCATATTGCCACTTTGTTCTTAAAAATAGTTTCTAAGGGAATTTCTTACTGTGTGTTCATATATTTATTTTCTTTTAGCCAGAGATTCACCCCCTGGTTAAAACAGATTTCCTATTAGAGCTTTGGGTCTGAATTATATTTTTAAATCTTATTAGACTATTCGTTAACAAAGAAAAAATGTGGTTTTGAAAATTGTAGAAACTCAAATCTTCATAAAAACTTGTCTTTCTGAGTCTATGTACAAATCTTGATCAGAAAAGGACATTTTCCAGCAATATTATGTGATGTACGAGCTCTTGTAAATTGATTTCTTAGCCTTTCAATGATGGATCTTGGCCTGATGTTTGCATTATCCACAGAGCATTTGTTACTGTACCACATTTATCTAAATGAAAGCTGGTTTTGAGGGGTATTGTTCTGTTAGAGACCAATGGAATGCATTTTAATAGTCTGGGAAACTAATGACAGACTGCTCTGTACACTTTTGAGTGTGTTTATATGTTTAGCAAAGTTTGCTGGATCATATACTGACAGAAACCCTCAAAATATCAAATACCTACTGGTTTTGTCTCTTAACTCATTCTAACAAAGGACTGGTAATGCACAAGTTGGGGCACAAAGTTTGGAGAGCTACAGAAAATCATGCTTATTTTGAAGATTGGTTTTCATCAATTATTTAATCAAATAGTATAGGAAATATCATACCTCCTGTATTCAGCTTCCTTATCCCTTAATACGTTTAGCAAACTAAACAAACAAACCCTCAACCAACCATCAAGAACCTATATTGAGATGTTTGCTAAGATTATGCCAAGAATGACAAAATTAAGACACGGCCAAACAGAAATTGCTCTTGAAATGGGAAGCATTACCTTGCATATTCACTAGAATCTGTATTTTTTTAAAGGACCAAACTCTTTATTCCCTTCATGAAGTTCAGCAATTCCTAGAACAAGACTAATGTAGTTATTCAGATGGCAAGTGTGTAGATACTACTACTGAGTATATTTTCTCTGTAGTAAAAATCCCTTTGTTAGTGACGATGCACAAAAGTATCCATAAACCGACAAAAGTAGTAACTAATAGGTGTTTACTTTTAAGCTTGATGCTATGAAATATTTTACCAGTAGGTACAAACCTACAAACCAAGTGCTAAATTGATTTTTAAAACTTCCTTGAGAGCTCTTCATCCTTTCCTCATTTCTAATTTTATTGACCAAAAATATTCTGTGCTTTGAGTGGCAGCTATAGATAAGAAAGAAATGACACTCACTTTCCAGTGTGTAATACATCAAAAGTAAAGGAAGATTTAAAAATTCCTAGGAATTTGGGAAATCTGAGGGATCCCTGTCTGTTTTAGGAATAAAGTTATTTCCGTGTTCATATTTGCAGAAAAGTGACTGGTGCGTGTAATCTTACTGATGGAGGATGAGTATCTTTTTCTCCAGAAACCCCTTAGACAATTTTATTGACATGTTAATAACTAACAAATTAGTAATGCAAAATGGATTACTGTCTTACCTAGCAGCAGCTAGCCCATGAATTCAACATACCTGTTGTGGATGAAGAGGTCTTCATGCTACTGTTTGGGTATTGTTGTGAAATTTTAAATTGACTCATAATTTGGTAACTGTCAGAGAAATGTGTAAACCAAACTTGAGTGTGTCTTAGACACTCAAGGGATTTCACTATGTAATGTTTTCACCTTTATAGCATGTGAGATAGAGGTAATACAATGATTTTGTTTTCTTCTTTTCTTTAGGCATTTCCTGGAAATACAAACTCTGATAGTGTGGTCCGGCATGATTTACAACATCCAGTTATTGCTCGCTATGTACGGATAGTTCCTTTGGACTGGAATGAAGAGGGACAAATTGGGTTAAGAATTGAAGTCTACGGCTGCTCCTATTGTAAGTTTTCCCATGATCATACTTTCTTCTTCCCCTAAAGAGAAAAACCTCGGTTTGGATCTCAGATTAAATCTGAGTCTCAAGTACTTTTGTGTAGGTAGGTTAAGATGTTCTGGGTTTGCTAGTTATATTGACCAGGGCTTCATGAAATATTTATTGTAACCTTAACTCTGGGTTACTAGTTTGTTCTTCTCTGGAAGATGCAACATTGGAATTCATAGTAGCACTTTCAAGTTGCTCCTTTTGATCTTCACATTTTGTCTTGCAGAAGACTTAAACTATTATACAAGCTTGGACAGGCCAGTTGAAGGAAACATGGTATTCAGATAAATGTTGAGTCTTGAAGAGAACAGCTGGGAAACAGAACATAATTTATTGCCTGGTACTAGAGATTAAATTAAAGCAAATAGCTATGAAGTCTCTTGGAGTAGCTCACATTCTCTAAATTCATGACATGTTTTTCAGAGGTTTTTCCTTTAGTATTTGACTATGACATTAGGATTTCTTTTGAAATCCAGATGAGCAGTAGTACAAATGCTTCTAAAATTAAGAGCAGAACTGATTACATTTTAGAGAAATACAAAGGCAGTTTCTAAATGCCCTTCCTTGACTTCAATCTAGCCAGCATTTAAAGAAAGTCTGCAAACCTGCAAAAGATTAAGTGACTGATGTCCTACTTCCCTCTATGTATTTTTTAGGCAGTATTGTGGCTTTGTTGGTGTTTGAGCTGGAAGGAGCTATTTGAGTTTTGTCCTTCAATAACCAGGTGTTTAGAGTAGTGTGAGGAGCACAGATCTGGAAGTCTCATTTATTGACTTCACTGTGTGACTTAAGGGATGTGGGATCACTTTGCCATGCTAACTAGCAAAAAAAGAAGAACACGTTGTGATTTCAGTTGTTTTTATTTGGACAGATTATCAAAAGGCTATATACATAAATTTAGCACTAGTAAGAACCGTGAAGAATAGAGGTTTGGTATTATTTTTTCAGCTTCCATGCAATGAAGGAAAGCCTATTTAAAAAATGTTTATTAAACCACAGAGATGTATTTCCCATCAGCTTCAGTAACTTATCTGAGAAATTAAATCGAACTCAGTGTGACGTTGGTGCTGCTCTGCTGTGGGCACGCTTGGATGTTAGATATATTCCTTAAAACACAACAGCATATCTGTTTTCTGAGGAACTGTGCGTTATTCTAAAGTTGATTCTTACTCAAAAAGAAATGGAGCTTCTGAAATTTTACGTACCACTGTGATTACCAAGTACATGACTCCTAATAAACAAGTGTTTACCATCACACTGCTAAAATGGTTTACATGCTGTTTCAAGGATACGAAACAGTACAGCATGCTTAATTTTGTAGCATGCTAAGTACTTTTAAGTATACCTCCTTACTTGTTTATCAAATGCAAATTCAGGTGTTTGATACAAGAAACCAACATCTAGTTTAAGGTGAAATATGACACCTTAGCAGGAAAAGTGTAGCAGAATCAAGCAATAAACCCCATGATCTTTCCAGAAATGTTTACAGGTTAAAGTACAATCTTCTTTTGATGAAATGGCTGAACAAAATACTGTAGGTACACGAAACGGTGCTTTTAGAGGCTTACAAGGAACGTGAGGGAAAAGTAAGACACAGCTTATTGACAAAATGATTTCAGTTGTTTGATGAAGAGGTGCTTGCTTGACAGACATTAGTAAGAGAATAAAAAGCATCTGTCAAGGAAACAGTGTGTGGAACTATGAAAATGCTGATAAAATCTGTCTTCACAGAAGAAGTGACATGGCCAAATGCAATTTTGTAATTTTACTGACAGATTATTGCTGGTCTGTTTGTATTAGAAGTGAATTCAGTGACTGTTGGGCTGTTGGTTTATTTCTATAAGAATAATAATAATATTTTACATTTTGATGTGTACAGGGGCTTTTCTTTCAAAACCTTTCCTAAAATGCGGTGTGTTTTTTTATGTACAGGGATTGGGGTGTCCCCAAAATGCTATCAGTAGATATCAGCAGAGTAGTTCAAAAGAGCTAAAAGTTCACTGTGTTGATAGAGAAAGGCAGCCCTTTGTTATGACTACTGGAACAGGGAGTAATATGTACACGTTCCCAACTTGTCTTCAAATACATCCTTTTGAGCCAGGTGTATAGTGCAACATCACTCCATGTAGATGTGTCCCTTGGCAGATGCAGAGTTTTCAGCCTTACAATTAGAAGTGCACATGAATATAAGCATGTAAATACAAGCGATGTCATTAACCAGTGTGATTTCCAGATTAATCTTGCTGTCATTGAATGACTTGGCCCTTTAGATAATCAGTAATTTTCAAAAGCCTGGTTTCTAGCCAGATCAGCCCCAAATTTTGGAAATAAATTACCTAAATAATTACCTAAATAAATAGGCTGCCTAATGTATCACAATCACAGTTTTTCTCTGTAGATTCATGTGGACTATATTCTTTTATTTAGATACTTTAAAAGGACACATTCTCAAATACAAAAAGCAGGTATTTTCTGACACTGCAGGCAGGGTTTAACTGGGAAGTTACAGACTTTGTATGAAAGCTCCTTCCTTGCACATCAGTGCAACCAGGTCATTAGTCTCAGAGCATTAAGGGAAGTACTTTGTCATACTGAGTTGGTAATTCAAAAGTCAGGCCTTTAATTGCCATGTTTTCTGGTTCCTATTTTGCTTGAATATGCACAGAAGATACATGTTTTACTTTTGTACAAGAGGTGAAATCCATGTTCTTCCTTGCCCAGCCAATTAGAGTTTAAAAAGAGGTTTGATTTCCAGAGAGGGCTAAGAACTCACACTTGTTCCCTGGAGCAGTTCACAGCATTACCAAGTCGTCTTCTTCCAGTTTTGTTTTGTTCTGCTTTAAGTTTGACATATGGGCTGTGACTGAAACTACAACTCTGTATTTTGCATGGATGAGATCTATGGGGTTGTCTTCTAACAGAAGAGCTCATAGAAGTCACCAAAAAATACTTAGGGCCTTGCTCTACAAGAAGATTCAGAATATTTTTTGTATTTATATCTGTGAATAAACAGCGACGTAGAATTTAGAGAAGTGTTTTATTCTCCATAAGGCAAAACTGACTTAGTAAAAAATATTAAAATCGGCTAAATACCCTGGTTAATGGCTATATTAATGGAGGGGTTGCATGGGAAAAACAAGCTTGGAGGACAACAACAAGTAGGCTATTAGATAACATAAACAACACTTTATAGTCAATGAGAGCTTTAGCTTTTATTTTAAAATGATCTATTTCATACTCTGTAAAGGGGATAAGGATCTTTACACTTGCAGCAACATCATTTATCAAAAAGCAAGTTGCGGAAAAGAAAGCAATATAACCAAAGGCAAAATAGCCAGCGAATCAGTTAAGTCAAAACTGATGGCAGATTCATGCTCTTTTGGAGACAGAGAGCAAATGCATGTGACATACATCTTCCATCACGCCCACTTTTATGAATTTTTGAGACAGGCAGCAAAGACATGGCATCTGGAGGCTATGACAACTACAGTGTAGCGCATTTTACTACTGATTCATGAAGATCATAATAAGCTCCTGCAGGATCATTGCCATATGAATAGTTCCCTTAATCTCCGTCCTGTGGCAGATGAATGCTACAGAAATGGCAATAGTGATACTATTGCATAGTCTTTGGCTACGCTGTTCAAGATAACTGTTCAGAGGCCTTCTGGGTGCTGAAATCCAGTGAGTGGAAAGCACTCACTGATGCCTTTGTTCGCAGAGGTTTATATATCTGGCTGTGTTGATTTTCTGCATCGAAACTGGATGTCTGTATCTTTTTGATGCACTTTTGTGTCTGATGGTAAGAATACTCAAATTCCAGATGATTCATTTGTGAAGCGCAGGATATAATTGAAAAAAAAAATAACTTGCAAACAGCAGGAAGTTCTGCAAGTACTCAATATACTCAAGGCAAATAGGTGGCAGAAACAATGATAAAGCTCCTTGAATGGCTGGCAACTGAGCTGTTTCCATTCATTGACTAGCTCTGTTTGCTAATCCTTAGGAAGCAGTGGAACTGAACACATGTCACCTGAGCCGTGTTTGCAGATCTGTTTGTTTCACTTATTTGCTATACTACTTGCATTGTGCTATGTCAGATATTGCTGTTTCAGTTTCCTGACGGGTGACTGATCTTTTCAGGAAGGGAGGAAAAAGAAGGAAAGATAATAACCACATTCCTCAGGGGGTTATGAAATAATGGATGTTTGTATTGAGAGCATTTACTCTCCAGATAATAAAGTGAACAAAACCTTGTTCATGTAATCATGTTACAAGAACCAAAATAAGGTTTGCACATGCTGTTAAGGGATGAGCCAAGTGAATGTTTGCAAGAACTTATTAGGAAATGTTGAAGTGCTAAGAACTATGGGCTGAACAGATCATTTGAGTAATCGTTGGTGTAGTTAATCCTGCCTGCCTGCAGTGACATTGACTTAGGCCATTGTTTCCTTTGGTGATTAATTCCACATTCAGCTATACTTACTGTTAGAAAATTTTCTGTGATCCTCATTTGAAATAACCTTTGCTTTGTTTCATGCTATTGGCACTAATTGTCCATCTCTCGTGTGCTGTCTTACACAGTCGCCATATATACTTAGAGACCTCTGTCCTGTCCAAAACCATCTATTGCATCCAGACATTAAAGGGACTACTTAAGGTAGATGAGAAAGTTGCTTGCACTTCCCTTTTGTGGAATCCGAGTAAGTTTTACTTGGCCAGATTCAGTGTAAACCCTGGACATTTTGTTTCACCAACATAGATTTAAAAAAATAACAGTAAACTAGTATGAGCCAGAGACCCTTAAAGTGTCATGACTGCTATTGGAACATCCTGTGGTGAATAAAGTACTATTCTGTATGTATATAAATGTATGCATACCTATTTCTGCTATTACACTTTTTGGTACTTATGTGAAGATTAATTTAAATGGTGAAGACACTAATGCAGTCGTGATC